AGAGGGCAGTGTCACTGGCCCTCATATGTGGGATCCGAACCGGGGCCCTCTGGCGTCCCAAGCCAGCTCTTAACCAACGCGCCACTCGGCCGGCCCCTCACAGTGTATTTTTATAACACATCTAAGCAAGGAAAAGTATAGAATAAATTTTAAAAGAACACAGTTTTAATTGCAGTTACTTCTGAGGAGAGGGATAAATTTGAGAGAAATGTAGTAAGAAGGGGAATTTTTCCGTATTGTTACAAGTTTGGAGCAGTAAGACTATTTGTACTATTATCTAAAACCAAAATTTCTCTCAGGGCAAACAGAGAGATAAGAGGCAATGGAAGCATGTTGGCTTTTTCTTTTCTTATCAAGGATAGCATGTCTGCCATGGAACCATTTTCTACCTCCTAGAAGGACTCGGGTATTTCGGAATACTGTGTATGTAGATGTTTGCTTATATAGTGGTTTCCATGATCTTTTCTTATCTCCTACTTATGGAAGAAGCTTTGGTTGGTTTGTTTGTTTAAAGATTTTATTGGGGAATTGGGGAAGGGGAACATTGTGTTTTTCCGGAACCCATCAGCTCAAGTCAAGTCGTTGTCCTTCAGTCTTAGTTGTGGAGGGCGCAAGCTCAGCTCCAAGTCCAGCCACTGCTTTCAATGTCGTTGTGGGGGGAGGGGGAGGCGCAGCCAACCATCACATGCAGGAGTTGAACTGGCAACCTTGTTGTTAAGAGCACGCACTCTAACCACCTGAGCCACCCGGCTTCTCAGGGCTTTGGTTTTGACCAACAATGTAAACTCATTTATTGGTGTATGTGGTCAGTGGCCAATCTGAAATAATTCAGCCCTTTAAAAACTCTACTGCAAATATCAGAGTGGTTTCCAAAACCTCCTCTCTAAGTTCAGGGTTATATCCCAAGAACCAGTCAATTCTGTGCCAAATCCGTCTCTAGACACCAGCAGATTTGAAAACACTGAGAATGTGGTGGAGGCACCAAGAGGGGGATGAGGACGTGTCTAAGCGTCACTGTCCGAAGTGAACAATGACTTGGAAGGGGCTACTGCTATCAGAGAGGTCCACAGTGAGGGGCAGAATCTGCAAGGAGTTGGGGTGTTCTAAGTCAGAGAGGGCAGGGGATATGGGCTGTCAGTTCCACAGGGAGCAGGGTGCAGCCTCCAGAGGACAATGCAGAGAAGAGCTGGATGGCAGGTCAGGTTCCAGTCTGGACAAGAGGTGCACTGGGGAAGACCCAGGGGAAGAGAGCTGTAATGCACGCAATTCTCATGGAGCTCTGGGGCAAGAGGCAGGAGGATCCTAGGTAAATTAAGCCCCCAGACAATCCCCAAATTGGGTTTGATTCTCATTTCCAGTTTCCTTCTTTAGGCCTGTTCTAGTACTATGGTCATAGGCTTTTACTTTTTACCTTCTGAGAAACATCATAAAATAGCGAGAAGAGAAATGAATGAATGGACGCAAGGCTGGGAGGAGTGTGGGTTCTAGAGGAATTCAGACCAGGGCTCTAGTCCTAGCCTTGTCATTAGCTGTGTGAACTCGGCACCTCACCAAACTCTATGAGCCTCGGATTCTTCATTAATGAAGTGGGTTTGATATATCCTGTCTTCTCGAACTGTTGGAATGTGCATAATGGATGTACTAGGACTGGCAATTAAGTTCATGAACGTGTTGCAATGATGCTGCTAACCTTTTTTGATATCAGAGGGATTATTCATTCTGAATTTGTACCAACTGGACAAACAATTAACCAAGTTTACTATCTAGAAGTGCTGAAAAGGCTGCATGAATAAGTTAGACAACCTGAACTTTTCGCCAACAATTCATGGCTCTTCCATCGCGACAATGTACCAGCTCTCACAGCACTGTCTGGGAGGGAGTTTTTAGCCAGTAAACAAATAACTGCATTGGAACACCCTCCCTACTCACCTGATCTGGCCCCCAGTGACTTCTTTCTTTATCCAAAGATCAAGGAAATTTTGAAAGGATGACATTCAGGGCATCAAAGGTAATAAAAGGACAGCTCTGATGGCCATTCCAGAAAAAGAGTTCCAAAATGGCTTTGAGGAGTGGACTAGGTGCTGGCATTGGTGCATAGCTTCCCAAGGGCAGTACTTTAAAGGTGACCATAGTGATATTCAGCAATGAGGTATGTAGCACTTTTTCTAGGATGAGTTTGTGAACCTAACTGTCTGACCTCTGAAGCACGTGGCGCAGTGGCTGGTGTGCACTGAGACTTTAAAGAATGGCAATTATTGCTATGATTTTGACCTCAGGTAATACCAACCCTCCTGCTGAGATTTTTGTTTTTTTGTTTCATTTGGTGGTTGTTTTCATTCAGGAGATGTCTGAGAATATGTGGCATTATAGGACACTGAATACCAAATCAGCCAAAAATTCTGCTTAGGAAGAAAACATACCTTAGCAAATCATCCCCCTTAGGAAATATATTATTTAATTTGGATGTTGAAGGATCATTCTCATCTGTATATGACTCACAGCTCCCAAAATGTGCATCAAGAACCAACTCTTTCCCTCCCTCCCAACTGCCCTGTAATCCAAATCACCCCTATTTTCATTCATTTAACCCCTACCAAAATCAAGCCCTCCTTTAGAGCGTTCCAAATTTCACTCAAGGTAACCTAGTCAAAACGCCATTTTCCTGGAGCAGGCTCTGTTTCCCCCAGCCAAGGGCAAAGAGTGTGAACACAGTGATTTCATGTCATCCCGCCTCAAGGAAATATTACCCTTATTTATCAGAAACTCCCTGGAGATGATGGAGATAAAACACCTAGTCTGTACACTGTGTTCACCTTCACTGGGAAAGAGACCAGGGCACCTTCCATCCCCGCCCCAGGTGGAAATTTCTCTGTGGCTTATCCATGACCCCAGAGTAACCGCTCAAAGCAGTTCTCCACTGGAGACTTGGTTTCTCAACTCTGAGCCCTATCACCCAAAGTTTGGCCCTTGCTCACCACCCTCACACCCTCCTCTGACCCACCACCCACCTTAACTTAAAATTATCTCCTATTACCTTCCTCAGCCCCAAATTTTCTTGCCTTAGAACATTTATTTACACTTTCATCTGGACTTCTCTCTCCTTCCCTCCTCATCCTTTCTACTTGTCTTTTTTGTCTTAGAGAGTATCTCACCATCTTCCTTATATGGTAGCTATAATTCTATGGGCAGTGGCTTGGCCCTCATTTTCTTACTACCTTCCATACAACCATGGAGGCTTCCAAAGAGCAGATGCTCAATGTTTGAGGAATAAAGAAAATGCCAGTAAACAATTTATTATGATTTAATTTCTCCTATCCAGTAATACCTTGGTTTGCGAGCATAACTCGTTCCAGAAACAAACTACTCGTATTGCAAGACATCGCTTGTTTACCATGTTAAAATGTATTAGAAATGTTTGCTCGTCTTGCAGAACACTCGCAAACCATGTTACTCACAATCCAAGGTTTTACTGTATTCTTGAATAAATGAAGCAAGTGCAGGTATATCACTTTTATTTTACAGAACAGCAGAAGACAAGGACTAAGGGAAACAAGAATTGACCATCATTTACTTTTTTTCTATTTCTTGATTCCAACTATTTTATTACTAATTTTTTTCACATTTCTAAGGCAATGCCGTGTTTTTTTGTTCCAGATCACTAAATAAGATGGAAGGTTACCCAATTGTTTTTATTAAACAACAAAACTCTTACTCTTATACCTCATAAATAATGTTAAATATGTAACTGATATCATTCATACACTTAGACTGTGAAGCTAATTAAACTTCATTTTAAAGAACAACATTTGTAAACATTCAACAATAACATTAACCTATGTTATTCATGTAGAGCAGGAACACAAATATGATATGCACTGTGTTCTCTGCAGCATCACCTAAGCCCCCTATTTCAAGCACAAAGTAAGGAAAGTGCTTCAGATTTCATTACTGGTGGGAGAGGCTGCTGAGACTGACCCTGGGAAGCACACTAGCCATGGCGTCAGTATGCAGCATAGCTGCTACTCTGGCCTGTGCTCTCTCTTCCTCATCTCTTAATGCCTCTTCATACCAGGATTGGGAAAGCACTGGGAACTATATCATGGATCTTGGCTAAGAACTCCAGCACTGTCATCTTGGTCGTCTCAGTGTGGGCTTTTGGGCCCCACAGGAACTCGTAGCATGGAGGATCACTGTTGGGCACCTGGCGGGACTCCAGGTATCTTTCCTGCACAAAAGCTTGAGTGATGAGCTTCTTGGGCTCCCCATGGATGAAGTGCTTCTTCACAGCATATATACACATCATATTAAATACTTTCCAGATGTCTTCCTCAGTGGCACAGTTGCCCTTCATAAAGGCCACACAGAGGATAGTCACCAGGAGGCCCGCCCTGGGCATGGTCTCCTCACCACTCAGCCTCCCATCACCCATGTGCTCCAATTTGCTGACAAGAGTGTAGCCATGCCTCGTAGGGTCAACTTCCTTCCCATCAATGCCAAAGGCCAGTACCATTAGCTCAGAGACTCTCCTGAGGATCTCATGGAAGTGCTTCTTGGACCTTTGGATGACATGACTCATCATGTCTTCCTTTGTTATGGGCTCCCTCATGTTATGCTTGCAAAGCATGAATTGTACCAACTGAATTGCCTTCTGATCTAGAGGGATTCTGCAAGAACTATCAGTGCCGGGCCGTGCCTGGGAGGTGCTTGGTCTTTTCTTATCTTTACTCTTGGCACCTTCATCAGATCTTGTACATGAAACACCTGCAGAAGCAGTGGTAGCAGATGGGGCTCTCCAAGACCGCTGGGATTTTCTAACTGACCCAACAGCAGGGGAGTTCTGGGAATTACCACCAAATAATACTAGGACATTTGTGTGTGACACAGGGGAGCCAGTTGTCCTCTGCCTTATGTTGGGCAGGGGGGATTCTAAGGTAGGAAGGGTTATTGGGCATGCCTCTGGTCCTTTCATCCAATAGATCTGCCCACTCAGGTTGCTCTACAGTTTTAGGCTGGTGACAATGATTCATCCAAGCCTTTTCCTGGAAGTTGTCCAGGACCCTCCAAAATTCCATATGCTCTTCTGATCCCTTTTCTAGTTACTATCTGCTGAGCTCTGAATTCAGAACCCTGACTACCACCCTGCCCTGGGCTATCTGGACTTGGTTTAGTATGTGGTCTCTCCCAGGGACCTTGGAAATTTCTTTACCCCGTCCCCCAGGCCTCCTGATGCTCCTCATTAACTGAGGGTATCCTATCTAGACTATTCCCTGGGACCTAATCACTCTGACCAAATCCTTGCTTCTTAAAGCATTAAGTGGAAAAAAAAATCTATTGACATAGAATTTTAAAACACTAACCCAGAGATACCCCAGTACTCAAGATATCTTGCAAAAATCCTGCTTTATGTGGAGAATGAATTAATGAATGGGGAATTAATTTTTAATAACATAATTAGAAAACATAAATATAAAATAAAAAAGAGTATTGAGGCCTTTTGAGCTCCTTCTTTGGTTTGGCCCGCTCCAAACTCTTTGGAGTGTACTTTTTCTCCTAATAATGATGCCCTTGGCCTGGCCCCTTTGAGGCTTTGCCATGCTTTACTTCGGCACGCTCCTAACCCTTTGGAGTGTACTTAGTCTTCTAATAACGGCCCTTGAGTCACTGCCTTCTGCTCGGGCCCGCTTCTGTTTCTTCAAAGTATACCTTTCCTTCTAATAAACTGCTCACTACTTAAAAAAATAAAATTAAATTAAAAATAAATAAATAAATAAAAGAGCAGTGATATATTTTCACACAAAAGACTGATCAACATTTAAAATGGATCAAATAAGCGATATGATTTCACTTATTATTTTTTTTAAAGATTTTTATAGGGGAATTGGGGGGTGGGAACAGCACTGGGGAATTGGGGGAAGGGGAACAGACAAGTTGCTGTCCTTTTGTTCTTCAGTCTAGTTGTGGAGGACGTTGCTTCATTGGCCCAAGTTGGCACCATCATTGCGCTCTTCCCGGGTGAGGCAGATCAGTCGCCGGCTTCTGGACGGCCGCTCACGGCAGCTGCTGGCCGCTCACGCTGGCTGCTGGCTACACACGGTAGCCCATGGCAACCCACTGCCACAGGGGCTGCAGCCTACGCCGTCGCCGGCGACTCATGGCAGCCCAGCTCCAGCTTGAGCTGTTGTTCAGCATCTTAGCTGTAGAGGGCAGTGTCACTGGCCCTCATATGTGGGATCCGAACCGGGGCCCTCTGACGTCCCAAGCCAGTTCTTAACCATTGTGCCACTCGGCCAGCCCTGATTTCACTTATATATGGACTCTAAAAAATAAAATAAGTGAACAAAGAACAGAAACAGACAAATAGATACAGAAAATAAACTGAGGGTTGCCAGATGGGAGGGTGGGTGAAAAGGGGAAGGGATTAGGAAGTATAAATTGATAGTTACAAAATAGTCATGGGGATGTAAAGTAAAGCATAGGGAATATAGTCAATAATGTAATAAGTATGTATGGTGTCAGGTTGGTACTAGATTTATCAGGGTGATCACTTTGAAAGTTATGCAAGTGTCTAGTCACTGTGTTTTACACCTGAAGCTAATATAATATTGTAAATCAAATATAAGTGAAAAATAAAAAGTTATTCTAAAAAAATTGATCAAATAAAATGTGAAGTTTAGGATATTCTCATATACTAATATGTGAGAATATAAGTTGGTACAGCGTTATTGAAATAGAATATCAGCAATATTATTGGGTTGTTAGAAAAGTCATGATGCATTTTTGCAATGAAGAACATAGAAAAAAAAGTCATGACTTTTCCAACAACCCAATTAAAAAAATATATGATCATCACGCTATTTCCACTTTAACCCAATGTTCACTTCTATATCTTTACTGTAAGAAACACCAACATTTGCCAAATAATTTATATTTCATGATATTGATATCAGTTCTATTAGTACTAGCAAAAAAATGGAAAACACTTATGTGTCATCAGGAGGAGAAGGGCTAAATTAATTATGGCACATACACACTTTAGCATACTTGGGAGTAGTTAAGAGTGAGATGGATCAATATGTGCTCTCACAGAAAGATCCTGCATTTATTACATTAAATGACAAGGGCAAGTGGCAAAACAATATGTACACCATTATCCATTTGCCTTCAAAAAAATACCCTCACATGATATTGTTCTAGTATATCTATGTGAGAAAAAACCCAGAATATATTTTAATATACTCTATACAACATTTTAAAATTATAGTTGCTTCTGGTAGGGCCTGAATTTTGCAGGACCATAGTAAGGGGGAAGAATTGTAATTATTCTGTATTTTTAGAATTTTTTAGCATCAAGAATATGTGCACTATTTCTTTTGTAATTAGTATAATTAAGACACACAACAGATATAGTAGCTGGGTGTTATTCGCATAAGTGACTGCAAGTGGATGTAACGGAAGAAGCCTGACATCCGAACGACGTAACACTACAAAAGTTTGTTTCTCATACACATCAAATCTGGCATGGGTAGACGGGGCCTCCACTGTCCAGTGGCCCAGGGATCCAGGCTACTCCCATCACGTGACTGCACACCTCCACAACGGCACTCATGTTTGCTGCTGAATTGTACAGAAAGCATGGAAGTAGCATACTGACTCGCAAATGCCTTGGTTTAGAAATGATGCACTTTGCTTCTGTTCATATGTCAGTGGCAACAGTTGTCACAAAACCCTTTCTAATACAAGTGGACTGGACGATATGCCCCATGTGCCCAGGAAGGACAACAAGACACCTGTGGATGAACACTTGCCGTCCCCCCATCAACATTTCCGGAGTAGGGGATCAGCAAAGTGCGGCACTCATGCTCTTTACACAAAAGCCCTCTTTATTCTTGGAGAAGATTCTGAGAAGGCCTAAGTTGCCTAGCTACACTCCAGAATTTTCTAGCGCCTAGTACTATGTGACCAGTGTTTGCAAACACAGCATCACATGAATTTTCTAAAGGGCACTGTTAGTCTCAGCAGGGAGGGGTCACCCTTCTTCAATCTAGAGCACCTTTCTGCATGACCTTGTCAATAACCTCTGTAGTCTTAATACACTGAGAACTTTCTTCTTCCTTTGGCCGCATGGTCACAATCACAACTTGTGAGTGTCTGCTGAAGAACATGGTTGAACACTTGTTCAGGTATGTTTAGGCCCACTGAAAATCCTGGATTTTCCTCTGGGGCAGATACAGACAAAACTCAGGAGAATGATAGGCAAGTATTTTCCTTCTCTTATCAAAGCCGGCATGTCTGCCAGCAAGACATTTTCTACCGTCACAGTAGACTGAGTAATAGCTCCATGAATGCGCCCATACGTTATTCCTGAAACCTGTGAATATGTCCTGTGACATGGCCCAAGGTACTGTGCAGATGTAGTAAGGTTCTGAAACCAACTTTAAAGTAAAGACATACTGGATTATCTGTCTGGGTGGGCCCAATGTGATGACAGAAGCCCTTACAAGCAGAGAAGTTTCTTTGGCCAGAGACAGAAGAGAGATGCCAAGTGTGAGAAGGAGTCAACATTTAATTGCTGACTCAAAATATATTGGCCTGCAGGCAAGAAGTGGAGCGAGTCCTGGAGAATCTATATCAGCTGCAGCCGCCAGTCAGCACGGAAACTGGGCCTCGGGCTTATTAGCACAAAGAACTGGATTCTGGCACCAACCTGAGTGATCTTGGAAGGAGATTCTTTTTTTTTTTTAAGAGTTTTTTATTGGGAAATTGGGGGATGAGAACAGCACTGGGGAATTGGGGGAAGGGGAACAGACAAGTTGCTGTCCTTTTGTTCTTCAGTCTAGTTGTGGAGGACGTTGCTTCACTGGCCCAAGTTGGCACCATCATTGCACTCTTCCCGGGTGAGGCAGATCAGTCACCGGCTTCTGGACAGCTACTCATTAAGGCTGCTGGCCGCTCATGCTGGCTGCTGGCTACACACGGTAGCCCATGGCAACCCACTGCAGCAGGGGCTGCAGCCTACGCCGTCGCCAGCGACTCACGGCAGCCCAGCTCCAGGTTGAGCTGTTGTTCAGCATCTTAGCTGTGGAGGGCAGTGTCACTGGCCCTCACATGTGGGATCCGAACCGGGGCTCTCTGGCGTCCCAAGCCAGTTTTTAACTAATGCGCCACTCGGCCAGCCCTGGAAGGAGATTGTTGCCAGAGCTCATGATTGGCGGCCTGGCAGCTGAAAGCTCAACTTGGGCCTGGGAAAGTCCAAGTACAAAATCTCACAGAGACATCCCAGCCTTTCCTCCTACAGAAATGTAGATAATAGTACTTACCTAGATAATAAATATGTGCTGTTGTAAACCCTACCTTTGTGGTAATTTGTTACAGCAGCCATAGAAAGCTACTACAAACCCTGAAAAGACTACAGGGTCTGTTGGAATGCAGCCTCGGCCGATGGTTGCTACACCGTGCTTTCCTGGGGCCTCCCTTCCTCATCTCTCTAGCAGGGAGGCTTTGGCTCTTGGCCACTTAGTTAGGCTCACTCATCAGAGTATGGATGCAGGGCCTGTCTCAAATACGGCAGAAGGTTAAATTCTCTTCTTTCGAACCTCACCTGCTCTCTGAAACCTAACTTCAGGGTTGTCTCGCAAGAACCAGTAGATGCTGTCAAATCAGACTGTACTCACACGCTGATTTGGGAAAAAAAACCTTTGAGAGTGTGGTGGGAGCAGATGAGCAGACACCTCAAGTTCACTGCCAGAGTAAACAACCACATCAACAGGGCTGTTGTTAGAGGGGTTAGACAGGACAGATAGCGCATGTCTGCAGGGAGCTGGAGTGCTCTGTCCGGGGGAAGGTGGGTGATTCTGGGCTGTCTGTTCCACTGGGAGCACAGTGCAGACTTATGAAAGGAAGCAGGTGAGACCTGGATATCAAGTTAGGATCCAGATTTAACAGGACACATCGGGGAAGACCTAGGTAAAGCTTGGTGTAATTTGGAAAGTTCGGGTGGTCCCAGCTCTAGGCAGTCAGATCTAAAATAATCGTGTGAATAGTTCAGGTGGACCTTAGGCATATGCAGCCCAGAGAGAGTCCCCTGTGGAGTCTAATTCTCATTTTCACCTTATTAATACAACTGGGCTCCAGGTTTTTTCTTATTTGTTGGTAGACATTGTGGAGTATTGAGAAGAGAAATGAATTAGGAGACGGTCGGCATCAGGCAAGGAGGAATGGAACAGTGTGGGTGCTAAAGGAATTCAGACCAGGTTTCTAGTCCCAGTTGTGTCCCTTACCAGCCAGCTGAACTCTGGAAAATTGCCAAGTTCGACAAACCTCAGGTTTTCATCTGTGAAATGTGTTTGATAAGTAGCCCTCTTGCTCTCGGCTCACATATATCTTGTAAGTAGGAATATTGGAATGTATCTAACTTATGCAAGACACTGGCAGTATCTGGCATGTATTGCTTTTTTTTTAAAAGATTTTATTGGGGACTTGAGGGAGGGAAACGGCACTGGGGAATTGGGGGAAGGGGAACAGACGACTTGCTGGCCTTTTGTTCTTCAGTCTAGTTGTGGAGGACGTTGCTTCACTGGCCCGTGTTGGTATTATCATTGTGCTGTTCCCGGGTGAGGCAGTCGCTCGCTGGCCTCTGGACGGCTGCTCACACTGCTTGATGGCCGTTCACGCTGGCTGCCGGCCATACTCGGTAGCTTATGTCAGCCCACTGCAGCAGAGGCTTCAGCTTACGCCGTCGCCGGCGACTCACGGCAGCCCAGCTCCAGGTCGAGCTATTGTTCACCATCTTAGCTGTAGAGGGCAGTGTCACTGGCCCTCATATGGGATCCGAACCGGGGCCCTGCTGCTCAGAGCTGGTATCCCAAGCCAGCTCTTAACCAATGTGCCACTCAGCCAGCCCTATATTGGGTTTTGATCATTTTCAATTATTACTATTATTATTTATACCCTAAGACGTACCAATGTCCCCTCTGGGATTTTTTTTTCTAATAGAGGAAATGTCAGAGAATTTGTACCTGTCAAGGATGTGGCACAAGAAATCAGCTAATATATTGCTTAAGAAGTTAAACGAAATTACTTGCTGTGTAACTTTTTTTTTATAGTTTTTTTTTTTTAGTTTCAGGTGTACAAAACAATGTAATAGTTATACATTTCACCCCTCTCAAAGTGATAACCCTCCTCCTCCAATCTATTGTCCCTCTGACATCGTATATATCTATTACAATTCCATTGACTTCATTCCCTATGCTGTGTAACTTTTTTGAGGATATGTTATTTATTGGTGGTGTGGGGGGATCTCCCCCAGTTTGATGAAGCTCAGAACTCCTGGAATTTGTGTCAAAGTCTATTTCCATCCCTCCCTTACATCTGCCCTAACATCCAAAACATTTGCATTTGCCATTATTTCACCTCCATCAGAAATCTAGCTCTAGCTTAGAGTTGACCACATTACATTCCAGATTAAAATGCAATGTAAAACCTCATGGAATTAAAATGGAATTCAAACCTAATTAAAATGGCCATTTAATGATTGGGCTTTGCCTCACCCAGAGCAGGTCAAAGACTGCCAGCACAGTGGCTTCTGAGCATCCCATCTCACGTGAGACTCACCCCATTTCTCAGACACTCCCTTGTTAGGATGTGCACATATCACCTATTTGGTTGACTCTGTCCTCCTGCACTGGGAGAAGAGCACAGGACCGCTTTCTTTCCTGTCCCAGGTGGAGATTTCTCTCTGCTTTAACCATGATCTGAAAGTTAGTGCTAGAAGCCGTTTTCCATTGCAGCATTTCAGTCTCTCAAGCTGAGACACACCAGTCAAACATGCTGATTCTGACCCACCACCCAGCTTAATTAAAATTACTGCACACTGAAGGGCTCGCAATTTCTCAAGGCCTCAAACCCCCTTGCCACAGGCATTTATGCTTGACTGATCACACTTAAACCCCCAAGTCCTCACACCATCTTTTGACTTGTCCTTTTGGTCGTTGGGGGTATCTTACAATATTCCTCAGGTCACAGCTACTCTAAGACTTTACATCTTGATGGGCAGGGATGGTTCTTCTATATGTTAGCATTCGTAGTACTAAAACGGGGTTTGCAAAGTGTAGATGCTCAAATGGTCGGAGAAAAAACTGGGGCACTGAGAGAGAGGTCTAATGTATTACATTCTTGAATAAGCTAAATATATCCATATATATCATTGCAAAACAACAGACTACAAGTCATAAATTAAACCAAGAATTTCTTTTATTTATTTCTCCATTTCTTGACCCAAACGATTACACTACTGAGTTATTTTACATTTCCAAGGAAACACCTCATCTGCTGCCATGTTATCTTGTTTCAAAGCACTAAATAAGATGCAACTTTTACAATTTGGTTTACAAAATAGAAAATTCTTACTCTTAAATCTAATCATAGCAATAAATGCTTGAGCCTATCATTTATAAATTTGAATTATGAAGCTACTGAAACCATCTATTAAAAGGTTAAAATTAAAATTCTTCAAGTTATCACACAGAACAGAAATGAATGATATATACTGTGCTGTCTCCATCTCCACCCCAACCTTCCACTCCTTAGAACGTGAACTTCTTAACAATAAAGAACTTGCGTTAGACTTCACTTAGTGTGGGAGGAGCTGCTGGCAATGGCCTTGGAGCGCGCACTGGCCATGGCCTTGGCACGTGCACTGGCCGTGGCAGCAATACGAGCCCTGGCTGCTGCTCTGGCCCGTGCTCTCTCTTCCTCATCTCGTACAGCCTCTTCATAGCAGGATGGGAAGGCAGTGGGGACGGTATCATGGATCTTGGCCACAAACTCCAGCACTTTCATCTTGGTGGTCTCAACGTAAGCTCTTGGACCCCACAGGAACTCGTAGCGTGGAGGATCACTGCCGGGCACCTGGCGGTACTCCAAGTACTTTTCTTTCACGAAATTTTTGGTGATAAGCTTCTTGGGCTCCCCAAAAAAGAAGTGATGCCTCCCCTTATGTAGCCCTATCACATTCAACATTTGCCAGACTTGCTCCTCAGTGGCACAATTGCCCTTGGTGAAGATCACACCCAGAATAGTCATCAACAGGCCAGTCTTGGGGACCCCTCTGTCATCACTTGGCATTGCATCGTAGCTGAAGTTGAGTTTGTTGACAAGAATATAGATGTGCCGGTGAGGATCCATTTCCTTCACGTCGAGGCCAAAGACCATCTCCAGGTGCTCAGAAGCTCTCTTGAGGATCTCAAGGAAGCGATTCCTGTACACTTGGATTACATTTCTCAGCATATCTGTTTTGGAAATGGGCTCTTTCATTTGATACTTGTACAGCAGGTAATATACCAAGAGAATCACCTTCTCATCTAGAGGGCCTCTGTGGAAGGGCTCAGTGGCAGGCCCGACCTGGGAGGATCTTGGCCTTTCCTCCACTCGGTAGTTGGCACCTTCATTCGATCTTGTTACAGCAGTGGCAGTGGATGGGGCTCTCTGAGGACCCTGGGGATTGCTGTTTGACCCAGCAGCAGACAAGCTCTCGAAACGAGGAGAGGAGGAAGAGCGAAACTCTCCTCCCACTGCTGCAGTGGCCTGAGCACCTACTGGATTCTCGGGCTCTTCTCGTTCCTGGCGGTGTTTGCCACGGGCCTGGTGCTTACTCTTCTTACCCCAAGGCATGATGGCTTTTGATAAGAGCAGCAATCACCAGTGTGGGCAGGTGATGCGGTGACCTGCAGGAGAGAGGATGAAATTGTTGGGCCACTTCAACAGGGAGATACTGAAGGCCACCTCTGCAGGTTTCCTTGAGGGCACTGCTCTAGGAACCCACAGGCTACTATTATCTGATTTGCCTCTGCCCCAAGGACCTTGTGGAAATAACTAGGGTGTGCCTTAGCGCCTACCTACCAGATCTGCTGGGGGCTCACTGGGGCTTAGAGCAATGGCTCTAAGTTACGGAGTACCTTCAGTTCACATTAAGAGTCATCCCTTCACTTCTGGCAGGACCTGAGGTCCCTGTGTTCCACTGTTCTGAAGCTGACCCCTCATTTGAAAGCCCTCATCACTCTGAGACCTCAGAGGAGGAACAGATGGGAACTTCATCTTCCCACACCTGCCCATGGATGCACAGAGAAGAAAGTACAGGCAGAGCTCTGTGGAACCCTTTCTATCCTGGGGTCTCAGTCCTCAGAGCCTTCACTTTTACTTCTTGTAGGGCCTGGGACTCCTCCCTCTGCTGAGCTAAGACGTATACCCTCAGAGAAGAGCCCTCCAATCCCTGAAAGGTCTCAGGAGGAAGTTAGGGAGACCTCTGTCTAACATACCTGTCCTGGAGCCATTTCTCACAGGCGTGGAGGTACCCTCGGGACTAGGGCTTTATGTGACCCCCCACTGTTTTGAGGTACATGGTCCCCTCAGTCTTCATTCAGGGTCCTCACATTGACTGCTGAAAAAGCTTGGGTTCCCTCCCTTTAATGACAATGAGACTGCCCTCTTTTTTTTTTCAATTCACAGAACATCTTTTATTGTCATTAATCAGAATTGAGATAATTTGATTTTTAAAAATTATACTCTAATAAATCTAATGAGCCCGCCCTGAGACCAGACGCCATCTATCCGAGACTGCACAAAGACAACGTGAAGGGGTGCCTCGGCCTTACAGCCTTACGCCCTTACCCGAGGCCTCCCAGGACTGGCAGCAGTGGTGGAACTTTGTGAGGTCCCCTTTGTTGGAAGTGGGTGTTTCCCCGAAACCTCACTCAGTGTCCTCGCTGTATCGCGCAGCAAGGCCTGGGAGCTCCTCCGTCCCCTGACCGAACGCCTTCCTCCTCCCGTTCGAAAGTATTTAGTTCCCAACACAACAGAAACCGAAGTCAGGGTGCCTTACATCGATCAACCCTAACCGGCTTCTCCAACCGAAGATATGGCGGGGCTCTGTGAAGCCCCGTATGTTCAGGGCTGGGTGGTTTTGCAGGCCTCACTCAGGGTTCTTGCCTTTACGCCCGTTAGGGCCGGGGACCCGTCTCTCTTCCGGTCTGAAGCTGACACCCGGATCCGATACTCTCACTGCCCTCTCC